GCCACTTGCTACGTGCGGGGGAGGTGTTCGTGCCTTTAGACTCGAGTACGCGTGGGCGATCTGAAATCTGGAAACCAGACTATAACAAGAAATTCTGAACACCTCACTATCTCCCGAAAGAGGATTTAGTTTTCTTGGCACGACGATATATCATTGCCTTCAATCTGGAAAAGATCGCTTCGGCGCAGATCTGGTAGATACCTCTATATAGGTTGGCTATAGTCATCTGCCCTGCCAATACAGCGTTCACCATCATCGGGGATTGCCACAAAGCGGGACTCCAAACAACAACGAACGTTCATCATCCGACATACACGGTCCCAGTAAAATATGTCGACAACCCAGCATGCCTAGGCGCCTATGATTCCGGCGTTAAGCAAGCAGATAAATGTCTCTTAACACTCCCGATATCCGAAGACCCCCCCGCTTGCCCTCGACTTATTTACGTAATTCGCAGCTAGACGCTATCAAAGCTTTTGGGAGCAATTGGATTCCCTGTTCCAGACGGCACTAACCCGGAATTTGCTTTAATGCAGAATATGAATGGACGGGCTAATAGGCATCATGCCGACGCAAGTGGTACCAAGCTACTAGAAGAAGGCAAGGCTGATATAAAAGCCGATGTCGAGCCTACTGTATATATAGTGAGATCCCAGAAGGCTCTGTAAATCAGAATTCCGGCGGCGCCCCGAATAGCAAGAATAGCATAGATAGCATAAACGGCGAGGCCGATGGTAAGCAGAAGCTCGGCTCTCGCACAATTGGAGCTCACATCAACAACACATAGGCTGTCGATTTTGAGAGCGGGATTCGTGGCCTGTGGAAGAGGTAGTTATGTCTTGATAGGTTTTGGTAGAAGGGTGGCCTTGTGGAGCAACAACGGTGGCACTCGCGGACGTTGGTGCTTCTGATTAAAGGTGTATTGTAGGGTGTTCTGCCGCTGGATTATCTCAATACACCCAAAGCGATCAGGAAGTCTATGCCTTTCTTTGGAATGGCAGATTGAGTCATCCAGGGTAGTAGGTTGGAGTGGAACTGAAGAGGACACAGGGTGTGGGACATGTCTGTTTTGAAGCTTGGTAGGTAATATCGCATAGACATGCCAATCGACCAATCAAATCCCCCTGATAGCTCAGCTGGAAGAGCGCAAGACTGTAATTGCTTGGTTCTTCAAGGAACTTGTCATCTTGAGGTCCCTGGTTCGATCCCGGGTCAGGGGATTCTTTTTTCTCCTTATAGCATAATTTTTTTTTGGTTGCTACACCGTATAAGAATGATCCGCTGTGTAATAGATCTTTGGTTAATCTTCCGTAGTTGTCTCTTCAACTGTCTTTTTAATGCATCTTAGCTGTCCTTCTCTGTTTGACATATAGACGGCAGAAGAAGGCGGGGAGAGGCTTAGTTTATGAAACGGCCTTTTCTTCTATGTCTAACCAGAGACCAAAGAAACTTGCTCATCTGGCGGTGATGGTTCAAACAACGAACTACATTGATCCAATACAATGAACGCAACCCCCTCTATGGTTGCGGATATCAACCTCCTCTCTGAATTTCTCGCCGATAATCAACTACCCGATCTCTCCACCACATCCCCAGTCGACTGCATTGTCATTTGCGCCTCAGCCGTTCTTCACGGTACCGAGATCCTTTTCCAAACCCTTGAGCAAAAGCCATCTCTTGCCAAAGCTCTCGTACTGTGCGGCGGCATCGGACACTCGACCGAGCTCCTTTATAAGGCAGTGAAATCTCATCCAATCTTTTCGCGCATCGCCGATGAAATCCAAGGTCTCCCTGAAGCCAAAGTTCTCGAACAAATCTTAGATCAATTCTTCGATCGGTCTCTCATCACCAAAGAAGGATGTCAAATTCTTCTTGAGCCGCTCTCTACGAATTGTGGACAGAATGCTTCATTCTCTCGCAAGGTCCTCGATGAAGCAGGCTTCCAGGCAACCAGTTATATTATCATTCAGGACCCAACAATGATGCTCAGGACTAAGGCATCGTCTGAGAAGGCTTACGAATGTGTCCAGCCCGCAGTCTCTATAATGAGTTGCCCTGTATTTGTGCCACGGGTACAGCTGTCCCGTAATGGAGTTATGGAGTACTTAGGCACATCTCCACCGTCAGAGCTGTGGTCACAAAGTCGGTTTCTGGATCTGATAATGGGCGAGATACCAAGGTTGAGGGATGATAACAATGGGTATGGTCCCCAGGGGCGTGATTTCATTGCCCATGTGGATCTTCCAAGTCATATTGAGGCAGCTTGGTCTCGACTTCAAGTGGTGGCTAAGAGCTATAGACAGATATGAAAACACAAAAACAGAGACATTGTGTGCATGGTATCTAAAGACCACGTGTTTGATTACGATAGAATGGGAACCGAGGCATCAAATGGAGATCCCGTGCATATACCTGTAATGCAAGTACGGTATACATGGAAGCCCACTACAATATGTCCTAAGACATAGGAGTTTGGAGTGAATTTCGGGATTTTTCAGGAAGACTGAAAGAAAAACTTGAAACGTATGGGACGGAAAAAAAGAATCCCCTGACCCGGGATCGAACCAGGGACCTCAAGATGATAAGTTCCTTGAAGAACCAAGCAATTACAGTCTTGCGCTCTTCCAGCTGAGCTATCAGGGGGATTGTATGTTTATCGATGCACTATGGCATATAATATGCCACAGGCACCCACTATTCACCATCCACATCCCCAAGAACCACTAGCTAACACACCTACTCCACTGAAACGAACCAAACCATCAAGCCAAACAGAAACATACTCATGATTCGACGCGCCCTAACCGCCGCCTCATCAGCGCGCGCATCACCTACAAGCACAGTATCAAGCGCCTCAGCCTGCAAGCTCCAACTGACCCGCCCATCATGGCATCATGTACGTGCACCCGAGCAAGAGCAAGAACACAAAAACGCGCCTCGCTCGCCGGAGATTTCTCCCAGCCCCAAACCCAAACCCAAAACTAACCACTAAACTACACCAACAGAGCCCGAGCACCACTCGTCGGTTCACTACAACCCCATTCCCAGCGTTCACAGCATCACCACCCGCCCAAGACCCCTCACCCTTCCGCCTCTCCGCAACCAAAACCGGCCCCCCCCCACCGCTCTCCTTCGAAGATGTCTATTACAGTCCTTACCAGCCAAAGCGCCAATGGCCACCGGATATGTCCAAGCTGTCGCCGAAACACCAGTTCCGACTTGAGCGCAAATACCGTCGTCGCGCGGCGCTGAAGTATGCCCGGCCGAAATTTATGAAGGCTGTTACGCTGGGACAATGGGTTGTTATTGGATGTGAGTTTATGCCGAGATTGCGGGGTTGGGTTGGAGATTGGGGATCGCGAATGGCGTCCAAACCTGTGGTGGATATTGTGTGCTGGATTTCGAGGAAGGATGCTGACTTTTGGTGCTACGTAGTTGTCATTGTCTATTCAGTGCTCTTCATGGAGTGGGATACGGATGATACTGCGTTCCATGCGGTACGTGCCCTCTCTCGTTTGGGAATTGTGTCTTGGCTAACATGATTCGGCCTCACAGATTCGGGAGAACTTCTTTGCTGGTCTCCGGGCTATATTCTCCAGCGCACCGCCTCCGGGTCTGAGAAGGGAACAGAAGGACACTAGGGCGTCTGAGGAGAGCTAGCCGTCGAGTAATTTAGGTCGAGTGATCTCTGACATCAGTATTATTGTACAACACTTCAACCAACTTCCCTACTTGCATCTATAGTCTACTAGAACAGCCCGAAAATTCAGTAAGGAAACTTCTGTCGATTCATTCAATTCTCATATCTGTTCATAGGTCATTTGTCATGAAGAAATCCTGTCGGAAAACAGGCGTCGCTGTACCATGGAGAGAAGGAGAGAAGAGACAGGGACAGATCATCAGTCTGTCTCTTTCTCGCTTTCTGCCCCGTCGCCTGTGCCAATATTTGGCTTCATTACATCATGTCCGCAGGACTTCTCTGGACAAGGAAATGCAGTCAGCATGCCCAATAACACCAAGAATGCCAACGCCGATCAGAAATAACAGACTACCAATAAACTCCAAAGGTCAAGTAAACGAAAGATACCAACAAGATAAGTTGGGGTGGGACTGCTTGAGGACCTGCCCTAACGCCGAGTCATGATAACGTGGAAGCCAAAGAAAACAAAAAAAAAAAAGACAAGAGAGGAATGGAAAATTCGTCGAATCGAACCGCAAAGTTGCGCCGCCGATTCTTAAAGCCAGCTGCGTAGGTCACTCGACGGGGTAGTTGGACCGCCAGCTGGACGGTTGTACGAGAAGTCCAGAGCAAGCTCCAGCCTAGGCGGGCGCTCATCGACAAGGCCCTTTCTAGGGCTACCAGGCGCGGACTTCTTAGGGGATTTGGTGGGCGAGCCGTGCTCGGCTGCTCGGGGCGGGCCTTCGCGTACCAAAGTATAGGGCCAGCCATCATCGGCCGCTGCTGCGACCCAGGTTCGCAGGCAATCATGCACAGAAGAATAGAACTTCTCCTTGCAAGTACGCAGACTACCACCCATGACCTTTTCAAAGCCGGAGGCACGGAGCTCATCACGAAGTTGGTTTCGCTCATCAGGGGTGGGCAGCACGGCAATCAGGCCATTCACAAGATCGAGATGTGCCGCAAGATAGTTGGTCGCATCCCATTCAACGCCTCCAACGTACGGGGCAGCCGGAACAGGAGGACGAGGAGCTGGGAAGTGACGCTCGTTGTAAGGACGAGTGTCTGCTGGGGTCTTTTCGCCGAAAAGGTCCTCTGACTTAGGGAGGGGAATCACATTCAGGTGATGGAGGAAGATCCAGAAGACCTCCTTTGTCACGTTTGTGATCTCCTTGCACCACACTCTGTAGGGTCTTGATTGGTAAATATTGGCAATGAAGGCCACGGGTTGGTTGTCCACCGGTGGCGCAGGATCCCTTAGATAAGAAAGGATCTGTCTGGCGCACGTGGTTGCCAGTTCACCAGCAGGAGCGGTGGAGAGCTGTGTGAATAGCAGGTTTGCGATGATCCCCCTAGTGGTGAACTCACTGGGGCCCTTCTTTTCCTCGTCAAAGAGCATATGCAGCAGAGCGGGAAAAAGCTCATTCTCGATGGAACCGAGGTGTGCCAGGGCCACAGATGTAGTGCATAGAGCCTTTAGACAGAGCAATGCCTCGTGCAAAAGGGTGTCCTCGTGGTCCTCACTGTAAAACGGATCAACCACCGGTCTGAATGAGGAAGGAGGCAGAAAACTTACCGCCAGGTCATCTTCATAATACGGTAGAGAAGCTGCACAATCTCGTCCATTCCTCCTTCAGTGATAAAATCATTGACCCATTGGACGGTTTCATTACGCAGGAGAAGACGCAGTTTGTGCATCTTTCCCACCTCAACCATCTCGGGCTTTTGTATCTCTCTCAGGTAATGCACAAAATCGGAGGGATCCGCCGCGGTATCGACAGCGGCCGCATCAGCAAGTGATGCTGCTGAAGCATTGGCTGAGAGGGTGGTGTAAAAACCAACAGGCTGGGAAAGATCCACGGACTTTGGACGACGGCTTGATGCTTCACTATCACGCCGCAACTTTTTGCCAGGCGACGAGGGGCCTTTAGTGAAGTTGAACCCGCGACTCCTGGATCGCGATCGAGAGCCTTTACGATCCTGAGGATGGGAGTCTTCCTTGGATTCTTTGCCGCGTCCTCGACGGCTATCACCAGTTCCCGCGCTGGGAGGAGTGATGCTCTCCGTCCGATCTTTCTGGATAAAATCTGCCTTAATGTTAGTATCAAGTGAGCGCATCTTATCTCTCATGTTGTGAGGGATATTCCTCGCATCCTAATGTATGTGTTAGCCCTGCAATTCAGATGGAGTGTATATAGTACTCAACAAACCAGCAGCTTTTCGAACTCGCTTTCGAGATCCTTGGAGTTCAGATGTTTATGCAATTCAGCATCTCGCTCCTTTGCATTAAATACCGAAATAGCAGCCTGTACACGAGAAAGCCGCTTTGGTTCCTCTTTTCCCATGGTAGGCGGGGATGTTTTTCGTGGACTTGATGATCCTCTGCTTTTGAACGAGGCATTATCAACTCGCCCATCAGGGTCACTTTCTCCCGAAGATGCGCGCTGCAATCCAAAAATATCCTTCATTTTGCGATTTCCCGTCAAAATTTCCGACTTGGGGCGAGGCTTGGACTCATTCAACTTGGTGAGGGAGGGTTGGTGGAAATCATAGAAGTTGCGTTGCTGGCTTGGCCCGTACCCCTTGGGTGTATAGAGAGAGACTTCTTCCGTCACAGTTCGCTTCAAGTCGGCGGTCGAGTTAGACCTCGATCGACCAGTAGGCTCTTTGTAAACCGAGGCCGAGTCCTGTGACCAGACTGGGGACGGCATATTATCAATCAGGTCGGTTGGGCTGCAGTTTTCCTTGTCGCGGCTCTGCTTCGAGCCATCCTTCCTTCCTCGTTGGGACCTTTTGAGGATGGCCGAGAGGCTATTGGATGATTTCGCCTTTTTGGGCGACAGATCCCCACTCTGCTCGGGTGTCTCCTCCGATTTACTGTCCTTCCGCTCCATGTAAATTCTCAGGGACTTCAATGAAACCGCGCTCTTGGTCTTTTTATGGAGGACTCCTTTACTTTCTTTGCTGCCTATCTTTGGCGAGACCATTCCGTGGTCGCCCGCATCGCGATTGGGAGCAATCTCACTGAGCGGGCGGTAGCCGGAAACGGAACCGGGCTCCTCAGTAAATGGGATAGGGATGATCTCGGTAGGTCTACTTCTCTGCAGAGGCCGCGAGGCCAGGGCATCGTCGGCTGATTGATTTCGTTTGTGAGTTTTGGACGAGATTATGGCCCGGAAGATGGACTGTTTGGTGGGAGATCGGTTCGCATCGTCAAATATTTGGGGACCAGAGGTACTCGCAGCCATTGCTACCCTCTTTGACCAGCAACTAAATCCATCTTGTTAGTAGATGAAGTGGATAAAGACCAGCGGAGGGGGACGGATAGTTGCAGTTTGAACTCACGGGATCTGTAGAAACAAACGCAGAACAAAACCACAACGCGGTCACCAAAAGAAAAGGATGATGGTCAAGTATAGCCCTTAAATTCCAACCCAAAAAAAAATACCAAATGGCGGGGAAGCAGATAGGCCTGGTAGAAAAAAAAAGAAGAGATCAGTGGGCAAGCTGGGGAATTTGAAGAATCAACGGCGTCTTGCTGCCAACAGCAACCGTCATCGAGTATCAAGATGTTGATCCACTTGCCTCGACTTAGCGCAGAAGTCGATCCCTGGGGTTGGCTGGATTGAA